TATTAAATGTAATTACAGTAGGTATTAAATATAATTACATTAGGGTATTAAATGTAATTGTTAATACTTATAACAAAAAAAAAAAGCAAAAAACTTGCACAGCAGTGAGGTATTAAATATAATTACAGTATGTATTAAATATAATTATAATGGGTATTAAATATAATTATAGTAGGGTATTAAGTGTAATTATTTATTCTTATAACAAAAAAATTATAAAAGACAGAAGAGCAGTGGGAATTAAATGTAATTATAGTGGGATATTAAATATAATTATAGTGAGTATTAAATGTAATTACAGTGGGTATTAAATGTAATTATAATGGGGTATTAAATATAATTATTCATAATGAACCGAATATATCACTGTTTTGTCGAAACGGTACTGTTTCGATCGAAACGGTTCGAAACAATGCCGTTTCGATCGAAACGGTCCGAAACAGTACCGTTTCGACCGAAACACTGGAATTTTGTGATTCAACTACTGTTTCGTTTCGGACGTTTCGGACGTGTCGACACGACATTTTGATCCTTGGTTGGTGTTGGCTGTTTCTTTGAACCATGCACCCAACCCACCCACCCCAGGGGGCTTGGGGCTGTACTTTGTGCTATTCTTGATGTAGTCCCTTAAGTTGCAATGCAAGGTGTAATAGGACTTCTTTGCTATAAGCACGGCATTTTGCCCTTTCACATTCAGGCTGTGCATATTTTGTGAGGGAGGAACCAATCTTATGTTCTTCCACTGAAGCATGTATTTTGGTTTATCTTTTTTTGCTGTGTGCTCGTGTTGCAGTTTTATTTTATGTTTTCTGTGAAAAACATTTTCAGAATGGATGCACACCATAAATGCAACCAAGTTTGCCATTGCAATTGTTTTTGGAGTAAATTTTTCCAGCCAGAAATTGGAATTTGCACTTTTTGTCATTCTTGGTATTCAGATTTTTTTACATCTATCAGAGCATTCCCTGTAATCATTTTCTTGACAAATCTTCCATTTTACCTTGTAATCCTCAGTTACTTCTTCGTGGAAATTTTGGGGGATGGGTAGACCAGTAGAGGGTTGAGAGCCCGCAACATTTTGGTTCAATCCTTTGACTTTGTAACTGAGATTAGTATTATTATTATTTGAATCTTTTCACTAGATATTTCTTTTTCTTTTTTAAGATGACATTGGATAACAATTATTGTTAGCAGCAGTTCTGTTGCATGATCATAGAACTCACATTTTTTTTTTTGTGGAATTGGATAGAACTCACAAATTGGCAAAAAGGAATTTGTTATTGTAGAACTTGTTTAATGGTCATTATTATATTTGATCCTTTCCCCATGGAAGCTAAAGAATATACTGAAAAGTCACTTGCCTCTGATGTTCATTGGTTTTTATGGAGTTGGGGTTTGTGTTTATTACATGGCCTACAATCTTCCATTCATTGAGATATTGAGTTCCTCTTCCTCACTTACATTTTGTGCGTGCTATAACGTGTCTTCACCGCTTATTTTCCCCATTTTTCATTTTTCATTTNTTTTTTTTTTTTTTCCAACAAATTTATATTTTGTTCTTCCGCAGTTTTCAGCTGTATAATTTTATGTATCTTCTGCTTTTGCAAGGGTAATGCTCTAAAAGATGCTGCCAGGGTTGAGGAAGCCATCCATTGCTACCGTGTAAGTTTTATAATGCTTTTGTGTCGTTAATTGCTGTTTTTTTATATGTCTACCCTCTATTCTCATTATAATTCTGTTCTGCTTGAAGCAATGCCTTTCTTTGCAACCTAACCATCCCCAAGCGCTCACTAATCTTGGAAATATATACATGGAATGGTATGTGATTAATAAATGTATAGCTAAGTTTTACTTTTTCTTTTTTGATGAGTGGATGCTATTGATGAATATTTTAGATTCTAAGGAGAGTTTCTGAGTTCTTAGGAACATGATGAGTGCCGCTGCACAGTGTTACAAGGCAACGATAGCTGTAACTACAGGGCTGTCCGCTCCTTTTAACAATTTGGCAATAATATACAAACAGCAGGTAGCGGCATCTTTAACACTGCTCTCTCCTGTCTCTCTCAGTAAAGTACTCTGTTTCACTACTTCTTTGGTTCAATGGTACTCCTAGTCTTATAAAGGCTTTGCCTTTGTTGAGGTCAAGGATTCAAGTACCCCTTTCCCTTCTCCCCCCTCCCAAAAAAAAAAAAAAAAAATTACTGCAAAAAGAAGGCATTGAAAATTTGAAATAGGATTCATCCACAAAGATATTAACATTGTTGTTTTCTGAGAATTTTTTATGGCATTACCTGTTATTTCTTGCAAAATTTTATAAAAATGACATTGAAAAATTTTACCCCTGAATTACAGGGAAATTATGCTGATGCTATATCTTGCTACAATGAAGTCCTCAAAATTGATCCTCTGGCTGCCGATGGGCTTGTCAATCGGGGAAACACTTACAAGGAGAGTGGAAGAGTAAATGAAGCAATTCAAGACTATTTACAAGCTATTGCTATCCGGCCAACCATGGCTGAAGCTCATGCAAATCTGGCTTCAGCGTACAAGGACAGGTTTGTAACAACACTTATTTGGAGGGTGAGGCATACCTTTGTCGGATCATCTATCTGTACTAGAGCTTAATTCTTGGATTTGAACAATTTATAGTGGCCGTGTGGAATTAGCTTTGAAAAGTTATAAGCAAGCATTGATTATACGACCTGATTTTCCTGAAGCAACTTGTAATCTCCTACATACATTACAGGTATGTACAAGTATGATACATATATACAAATATATTTGTGTGTGCAGGCATGCACGCTCTTGTGTGTGTGTATATATAGGATCATGTATATTAAACATCACCCAACCATGGTTCAAAGTCATGGTATCACTCATCACGTGGAGGGCATGAAGACACATCACTTGGGGTGTCATGAAACAGTATCATACAACACACTCATGAAATGCTAAAAAGTTGGACATAGTGAGAGATTCAGGCTATATTGAGAAACAATATTGGCGTTAGCTATGATTTGATGACACTGACTCGGTCAACTTTGATTGGACCGAGTTGTCTTCGAGTCAACCTCAAGTTGTGGGAATTATGGTTTTCACGGAACATGTTTTGATTTCAGAATGAAAGTGCTAGAGTTGGGTACGACCTGACTGAGTTGTGTTGGTGTCAAGGATCAAAATTTCGTTTCGAAGTACCGTTTCGGTCAACTCAAAAATAGAAACGTTTCGGAAACATTTCGGAAACGCAATGGAAACGCAGAAAAAATATGAAAACGCATAGAAACACAAATGCAATCCATTAATTTATAAAGATATGCTAAATAATTTATTAATTCAACATATTTATTAGGTTAACATCAATTTATACAAGAATAAATTTAAATTTGAGGGAAAAAAAGGCTTGACTTGAGGCGAAAGTCACTTAAATTAGTTTCAAACACTTAATTTTTATGAAATAAACACATTTTTACATAATATTAAGGTCTTATAATACACATGAAATGCTAATGAGTACATACTTACATGGTTACATCCATTCCCCTGTGGAGTGTCGAGCAGGCTCATACATCGGTGTAGGCTCTGGGTAGCTACTTAGAGAAACTCCATATGTGACATAAATATGATGACAATAGTTACTCCAAATCATATTATTACGGTAATATAATCCAATTAATAATACTATTTTATTATAATACTAATAATGAAGGGTATCAAATTAAATTAATGATACTTATGTATACTTAAAAATTAAATGTAATTGCAGTGGGTATTAAATGTAATTACAGTAGGTATTAAATATAATTACATTAGGGTATTAAATGTAATTGTTAATACTTATAACAAAAAAAAAAAGCAAAAAACTTGCACAGCAGTGAGGTATTAAATATAATTACAGTATGTATTAAATATAATTATAATGGGTATTAAATATAATTATAGTAGGGTATTAAGTGTAATTATTTATTCTTATAACAAAAAAATTATAAAAGACAGAAGAGCAGTGGGAATTAAATGTAATTATAGTGGGATATTAAATATAATTATAGTGAGTATTAAATGTAATTACAGTGGGTATTAAATGTAATTATAATGGGGTATTAAATATAATTATTCATAATGAACCGAATATATCACTGTTTTGTCGAAACGGTACTGTTTCGATCGAAACGGTTCGAAACAATGCCGTTTCGATCGAAACGGTCCGAAACAGTACCGTTTCGACCGAAACACTGGAATTTTGTGATTCAACTACTGTTTCGTTTCGGACGTTTCGGACGTGTCGACACGACATTTTGATCCTTGGTTGGTGTTGGCTGTTTCTTTGAACCATGCACCCAACCCACCCACCCCAGGGGGCTTGGGGCTGTACTTTGTGCTATTCTTGATGTAGTCCCTTAAGTTGCAATGCAAGGTGTAATAGGACTTCTTTGCTATAAGCACGGCATTTTGCCCTTTCACATTCAGGCTGTGCATATTTTGTGAGGGAGGAACCAATCTTATGTTCTTCCACTGAAGCATGTATTTTGGTTTATCTTTTTTTGCTGTGTGCTCGTGTTGCAGTTTTATTTTATGTTTTCTGTGAAAAACATTTTCAGAATGGATGCACACCATAAATGCAACCAAGTTTGCCATTGCAATTGTTTTTGGAGTAAATTTTTCCAGCCAGAAATTGGAATTTGCACTTTTTGTCATTCTTGGTATTCAGATTTTTTTACATCTATCAGAGCATTCCCTGTAATCATTTTCTTGACAAATCTTCCATTTTACCTTGTAATCCTCAGTTACTTCTTCGTGGAAATTTTGGGGGATGGGTAGACCAGTAGAGGGTTGAGAGCCCGCAACATTTTGGTTCAATCCTTTGACTTTGTAACTGAGATTAGTATTATTATTATTTGAATCTTTTCACTAGATATTTCTTTTTCTTTTTTAAGATGACATTGGATAACAATTATTGTTAGCAGCAGTTCTGTTGCATGATCATAGAACTCACATTTTTTTTTTTGTGGAATTGGATAGAACTCACAAATTGGCAAAAAGGAATTTGTTATTGTAGAACTTGTTTAATGGTCATTATTATATTTGATCCTTTCCCCATGGAAGCTAAAGAATATACTGAAAAGTCACTTGCCTCTGATGTTCATTGGTTTTTATGGAGTTGGGGTTTGTGTTTATTACATGGCCTACAATCTTCCATTCATTGAGATATTGAGTTCCTCTTCCTCACTTACATTTTGTGCGTGCTATAACGTGTCTTCACCGCTTATTTTCCCCATTTTTCATTTTTCATTTTCTATTGTATATAGATTATTTTTCCTTTTTTTTTTTTTTTTTTTTTGAAAAAGAAGGGGGGGGGGTCTTCGTTGAACATTGGTGAGCATTTGGGTAAGATCTGTGGTTGATGGCAGAAAAACTTTTGGGGTCCTTGAAATAGATTTCTGTTACTATTTTACTGCCAAGTTTGGTGCCACGCATTTCTGTTATTTGACATAGAGGCCCATAATTGTAGGTTGTCAAGTATGATGATGTGCTAAATGAATGCAGATATGAACTTTTTGGTCCTTGTTGGGGGTAATTTTGCATGCTTCTTTTTGAACTGTGATTCATAAAATTGGTAGTTGTTCTCATGTCTGGGCGTGTTAGGTGACAGGTGATTGTGCGGAATGCATTTTAATTACCACATTTGAACTCGAATATTGTCTCCTGCTGATCACAAAATGGGAGGCATAGCTTTAAGATCCGTGTTGGTGGTCGAAACACAGATGGGTATATGTCATTGAAAATAATTATGAAATAGTGATGACAACTACTTTTTTTAAAGTCCAAACTATGGGATACGTGTTTGTTTTTAGTTCTGATTCATTAAAATGCCTTTGTTGGTGCAAGACTAGTGTTGTGAGTTATATTTACACAGACAATAAAAAATTGTGGAAGTAATTAAAAAAAAAGATGTGTGGAAGTGTTAAGATGCTTGTGTATGGAATGGCATGTGTTACTTTTAAGAACTTACGAAGAAAATTGTAAAGATTGTGAAAGTATAACGAAAAAAGATGCATTGAAGTCTTATGAGGCCTATGTATGGAAAAACATATATTGGTATTGTGGATGTTTTAGTCCATGCTTAGATCCCATTGGTTGTGGTGTGATGCTTTTGATTACTCGGCTTAATGAGCTTTACTAAGTTGTAGTTGGTTCATGGGTGGATGTGATGGTAAAGATTTGGACGGGCGACATTAATTTGATTTCATGATATGTTCTCAGTGTGTATGCGACTGGGATGATCGGGAGAAGATGTTTATTGAAGTTGAAGGAATACTGCGAAGACAGATTAAGGTTGAACTAAACCTGCCTACATTTCCTTGTTCTTTTCTTTTCTAAGTTTGTTCTGATGGTGTATGTTGTGATTCTAGTTGATCTCTGTCATCGAGTAAATGTCTGACTGCATTTATTATCTCCTTTTAGATGTCAGTTATTCCAAGTGTACAGCCTTTCCATGCTATAGCATATCCCCTTGACCCACGGCTTGCTCTTGAGATTAGGTGAGAAATTCATTTTTTGTGTGGATGAAACATCAAAAGTGACTTTGAATCTTCATACTAACGTGAATTTTTTGACATGGTAGTCAAAAATATGCTGCACACTGTTCTGTCATTGCAGCGCGATGTTCACTCCCACCTTTCAACCATCCTTCACCATTACCCATTAAGGGTGGGTGTAGGAATGGCCGATTGCGAGTTGGGTGAGTTGTGGAAGCCAAATATACTTTCTATTTTGGTCTTTTTTCCCCTTTCCCCTTTCCCCTTTCCCATTTCTTCTCCCCACTTTCTTCGTACTTCTTTTTCAGGGATAGAAAAATTATATTGATTTTTTGATTTTGTCCAATTGTTTTTGCTTTCGGTTTCAGTTATGTGAGCAGTGATTTTGGTAACCATCCTTTATCACATCTCATGGGCTCGGTATTTGGCATGCATGACAGAGAAAATGTTGAGGTTTGTGAATTGAAGATTTTGAATATTATGTATTCTTTTTTCCAGACTTTCGATTTTTTGGTTTTATATGGTATTATTCCGTAGAAGTATTTTTGTAGGTATTCTGCTATGGTATAAGTCCAAATGATGGCACTGAGTGGAGGGAGCGAATACAGTCAGAAGCAGAGCATTTTGTTGATGTGTCATCCATGTCATCTGATATGATTGCAAGGCGGATTAATGAGGATCAAATACAAATCCTTGTCAACCTCAATGGTTATACCAAGGTATTTTAGTATTGATCTCTGTTGAATAGGCTATTGAAAATCATGTAGAGTGATGGCTAAATTCGTAGTTGCTAAGATCTTAAGTGCTGGGATTCATACCATAGGTTCAAAATTTATTGTTTGTCCAGAACACAAATATAAACGAATATGTAAATAAAGTAAAATGTTATTGACCTCATTTTCCCTCACTTTTAGACGACACAGATGAATTAGTCTAACCATGCTTATAAACTGAGTTGTGCTATTCTGCCTCTGGTCTCCACCGTATATTATTTCATTTTCTTCCAAGCTTCTGATTTAGACATCTGGCCTTTCTAACTGTCGTGGAAGTGTTTTTCCCTCTATTTTGCAGGGAGCTAGAAACGAAATATTTGCCATGCAGCCTGCTCCCATTCAGGTTTCGTACATGGGATTTCCTGGAACTACAGGGGCAACCTACATAGATTATTTGGTCACTGATGAGGTTGGAGAGATGGAGGTTTTAATTGTTGATACTGCTGTTTCTTTAATCTCATTTTCTGTTTTCACACGTGTTTTCCTCTCTGGCAGTTTGTTTCACCAACACGTTTCGCACATATCTACTCTGAGAAGCTTGTCCATCTTCCTCATTGCTACTTTGTAAATGATTATAAACAAGTAAGTTTCTGAACCCAGTGGTCGGCAGTCTTTATCAGGGGATTATGTTTGGAGCCATGTTTAACTTCATTCTTTCTCCCTTTTACAATTTCGTTAGAAAAATCGTGATGTACTGGATCCAAACTGCCAACCGAATCGAGCAGATTATGGATTGCCACAGAATAAATTTATTTTTGCTTGCTTCAGTCAGCTGTACAAGATGGATCCTGAAATTTTTATTACTTGGTAAGATCCAGAATTGACTTTGGTGTTGCTAAATATCTTCAGTGTTCATGCAGTGATGTGTCATACTTAGCCGATTGGACTAAAACTATTTCAGGTGCAACATTCTCAAGCGTGTCCCCAATAGCGCACTTTGGCTGCTTAGATTTCCGGCTGCGGGTGAAATGCGGCTTCGAGCATGTATGTAATGTTGTCTAGAAAATAGATCTATTATTGCACTGTTGCACACATGGTAGACAGCCTTTGTCTTTCCTAAGTCATGGAGCTTGATTTCGGGCCATTTAAAGTTATGTGGGCAGATGGGTGCTTACATTTCTGAAACCACCTAATGCGATGGCTTTTGATTGTTCAGATGCAAATGCACAAGGTGTGCAACCGGACCAAATTATTTTCACTGATGTTGCAATGAAAGGCGAACATATCAGACGAAGTGCTTTAGCAGATCTATTTCTTGACACGTATGCATACCATTATTTGTTATTTAAGTTTAGATTATTCAACATGCAGTTTATTCATACCTCCTTGGAGTTGTGGGTAACTATGTTTTTCTTCCTGTGTCTTCTGAGTAGGCCATTGTGCAATGCGCACACCACGGGCACAGACGTACTTTGGGCTGGTCTGCCTATGGTAACCCATCCTCTTGAGAAAATGGCGACCAGAGTTGCCGGTTCGCTGTGTCTGGCCACTGGAGTTGGGGAGGAGATGATTGCCAGCAGGTCGGTATTTTCTCATTGCGAGGATATAAGAAAGGTGTTGGGCATTCCATAAAAATGTTTCTACGAAACATGGCAACGTCCTCTTCCTTGCAATAGAGGTGTTGGTTTTTAAGATTCCACCTATTTCTGCCCCTGCCCCCTCTACAAAAAAAAAAAAAAAAAAAAAAAAAAAAAAAAAA